ATAGCAAAGGAAAAGATAACGGCGGGTCTTATGGCGGCTCTCTCCAGTATGTATGAGAAGCCATCGGCCTCAAACAAAGTTCATTTGATGAGCGATTATTCAATTTGCAGATGACGGAAGGAGCATCAGTGGCTCAACACCTGAATGAACTCAACACAATCACAACCCAGTTGAGTTCCGTGGAAATTGAATTCGATGATGAAGTTCGAGCTTTAATTCTCTTATCATCTCTACCAGACAGTTAGAATGCTACTGTTACAGCAATTAGCAGCTCGTCGGGAAATAGTAAATTGAAATTCGACGATGTTCAGGATCTGGTACTAAGCGAAGAAATTCGACGGAGAGAATCGGGTGAAGCATCAACCTCCTCAACCTTGCACACGGAGTCCAGATGGAGAACTTCAGAAAAAAAATCAAATCGTGGCAGATCAAAATCCAGACGAGGAAAATCAAGAATGAGAAAGAAATATTTTACCTGTTATAATTGTGGCAAGAAGGGTCACTTTAAAAGGGATTGCCGAGCACTGACGAAAGATACCGGCGCACAGGAATCTGCAAACATGACAGAGGAGACAGGTGATGTCATGATTCTAAGCGTCAACAGTCCGATTGAATCCTGGATCTTGGATTCAGGGGCATCTTTCCACTCCACCCCATGCCGAGAAATCATGGAGAACTATGTCAGTGGTGATTTTGGGAAGGTTCATCTAGCCGATGATGAAACCTTGAAGATCGTCGGAAAAGGAGACATCCGATTAAAGTTGCCAAACCAGACCACCTGGACGCTGAAAGGAGTGAGACATATTCCTAGCCTCAAAAGAAATTTGATTTCTGTAGGACAACTTGATGGTGAAGGATTTAGCACAACCTTTTCAGGCTGTGAATAGAAGATTACTAAAGGAGCACTCGTCATTGCTCGTGGTAAGAAAACTGATACTCTCTATATAACCTCAAATTTAGAGAATATCATTGCAATAGCATATGCTGATGGAAAATCAAACCTATGGCACCAAAGGCTTGGCCATATGAGCGAGAAAGGGATGAAGACATTTTTGACAAAGAGGAAGTTGCCGGATCTAAAGAATGTAGATATCGGACTATGCGAGGATTGCATCTTTGGCAAACAAAAGAAAGTCAGCTTTGCAAAGATTGGTAAGACACCCAAGGCTGAAAAGTTAGAGTTGGTTCATACTAATGTATGGGGACCATCTCCAGTTCCATCTCTTGCAGGCTCATTATATTATGTCACCTTCATCGATGATTCTACAAGGAAGGTATGGGTTTATTTTCTGAAGAAGAAATCAGAAGTCTTTGATACCTTCAGAAAATGGAAGGCCATGGTGGAAAATGAGACTGGTCTGAAAGTCAAGCAGATGAGGTCTGACAATGGAGGATAGTACAAAAATAGGAGATTCAGAGATTTCTGCGCAAACAATGGGATCAAGATGGAGGCAACAATTCCCATGACACCACAGTAAAATGGCGTAGCAGAGCACATGAACAAAACTCTGAATGAACGTTCCAGAAGCATGAGGATACATGCCGGATTGCCCAAATTTATATGGGTTGAAGCTATCAACACTGCAGCTTACCTGATCAACTGTGGGTCTTCAGTTCCTTTGGATGGCAGAATACCAGAGGAAGTTTGGAGTAAGAAAGAAATAAACCTTTCACACTTAAGAGTGTTTGGTTGTATTTCTTATGTACACATAGATTCTGCTGAAAGAAGTAAACTTGATGCCAAGTCCAACAAATGTGCCTTTGTTGGTTATGGCGGTGATGAGTTCGGTTACCGGTTTTGGGACTATGAAAATCGAAAGATCATCAGAAGCAGAAATGTCATTTTCAATGAGAATGTGATGTACAAAGACAGGTCAACTGTAGAATCAAGTAGCTCAAATACCAAAGCTGAAACAAAGGAATTTGCTGAGTTCGAGGAGATTTCTAGAAATGATGTTTAGATCAATCCTGAAGCAGTTCAAGAAGAACCAGGCACACCGGAATTAAGACGCTCCTCCAGAATTCCTAAACCAACCCAACGATATTCTCCTTCTTTGTACTACTTGTTGCTGACTGACAATGGTGAACCAGAGTCTATGATGAAGCAATGCAGGTGGAGGATTCAGTCAAGTGGGAGTCTTCAATGAAAGATGAGATTGACTCGCTTATGTCAAATCAGACGTGGGAATTAGCTGAATTACCACCAGGCAAGAGAGCGCTCCATAACAAGTGGATTTACAGGATCAAAGAAGAGCACGATGGGAGCAAACACTATAAAGCAAGATTGGTTGTCAAAGGTTTTCAACAAAAAGAAGGTATTGACTACAATGAAATTTTCTCTCCAGTCGTGAAGTTGTCTACAATCAGACTGGTATTGAAAATTGTAGCTGCAGAGAATTTACATCTTGAGCAGTTAGATGTAAAGACAGCTTTCCTTCATGGAGATTTGGAGGAAGAAATCTATATGAAGTAGCCAGAAGGATTCATAGAGGCAGGCAAGAAAAACCTGGTATGCAGGTTGAAGAAGAGCTTGTATGGTTTAAAACAAGCTCCAAGACAGTGGTACAAGAAGTTCGATAGTTTCATGGGTAGCAGTAGTTTTACCAGATGCCAAGCAGATCATTGTTGCTACATCAAGAGGTTCGACAACAATTTCATCATTTTATTATTTTACGTTGATGACATGCTCGTTGCAGGCTCAGACATGCAAGAGATTATAAACTTGAAGCAAAAAATGTCGAAGCAGCTTGCTATGAAGGATCTGGGCGCTGCAAAACAGATTCTTGGGATGAGGATCAAGAGAGACACAAAGTCGGGGACTTTGATGTTATCACAGGCTGAGTACATCAACAAAGTACTCTCCAGGTTCAACATGCAAGATGCTAAACCAGTAAGTACACCTTTAGGTGTTCATTTCAGACTCTCCAAAGAATAGTCACCAAAGATGGAGGAAGAACGAGCACACATGGTGAAGGTGTCGTATGCCTCAACAATTGGAAGTCTCATGTATGCCATGGTTTGTACTAGACCAGATATTGCTCATGCAGTGGGAGCTGTTAGCAAGTACATGAATAATCCAGGCAAGGTACACTGAGAAGCAGTCAAACGGATCCTCAGATATCTGTGGGGTACCACAAACAAAGCACTTTGTTTCAAAGGTGGAGATACTATACTGACAGGCTATGTAGATGCTAACTTAGCCGGAAATATTGACATCAGAAAGAGCACTACAGGGTATGTCTATACTCTAGGAGGAACTGCAGTGAGTTGGGTTTCTCAACTACATAAGATAGTTTTCTCTCTCCACAACTGAAGCAAAATATGTCGCTGTTACGGAAGCCAGCAAGAAGATGGTTTTGCTCCAAAGTTTCTTGGAAGAGTTAGGCAAGAAACAAGAAAACAATGTCTTGTATTGCGACAGTCAAAGTGCTATCCATCTAGCGAAGAATCCATCTTTTCATTCCAGGACGAAGCATATACAATTGCGATATCATTTTATCCGGTCTCTTCTGGAAGATGGGATTTTGAAACTTGAAAAGATCAGTGGAGCTCAAAATCCGGCAGACATGTTGACAAAGACGGTGACCACGGACAAACTGAAGTTGTGTTCAACTTCAGTTGGCATGCTAGAGTAATAAGACCAGAAATACTGCTGCATTGATCGAGGTGTGAAGACGGATTAAAATCAGTCTTCAAGTGGGAGATTATTGGAGAAAAGTCAAAAATGATGGGCGTAGAAATGGGGGGGCGCAGGCAACACATTTTCAACAAAGATAGGAGAAGGGGGGCACCGCCTATGCATATTTTCAACAAAGGGGGACGCGCGTTTTCAACAATTCGGTGCCCCCAATTTTTAATTAAAATGTAATTGGCATAATTGCATTTTTAGTCACTGCATATTTTAGGGTATTTATAAGATTAGTCCCTAAGTTTCAACTATAAATACCCTAGCTCATTTAGCTTCAAAATCATCCCAAAATCTTTCAGTTCTCTCTAAAGTGTGTTTTGTAAACACCTGTAATTTTTTCTCTTTAGTAAAAGATCTGCAGCAGTCCGGAGATGTAAGCAAATTGGCTTAACTCCGTTATCAATTTTTCGGGTATTATTTTTTCCCGCTTTTATTTCATATTCTCACTAATCTGGCTATAGGAAAATTACTTGTTTTTCGTTTATTTCCCAACAATGTGGTTGTCATGAAATTCCTTGGATATAAAATTATAAAATTTGAGCTTAAATTATTGCAAGTCTAATATATTAACTCTACGATCCAATATGTGGATCACTTAGACTATACCAGTTATTCATTAGAGTTTGACGAAGGGTATAAACGTAGCAGATCTAAAAATTTCAATACTTCTTTGTAATAAAATAAGTACGCAATTTTTTTCTCTTTCTCCTAATATATTTAACTATATTTAAGAATTTATCCAAAATAACGAGTATACATCCGCTCTGGGTATAACACTCGTCTCTTTTCACCCAAGCGAATGTTATATAATAGTATGATTCATAATGTGATTTAACTGGGGTAAAAACTTTTTATTCAAAAGCTACTTTCACATTCTATTCATTCTCGGACTGTTCTAGAGAGGTCGAGTGAGAGGACTCGATTTTGCTTTGTATATAATGATTTCCTTTTTATCTTAATTTTATAATCGTTTCATCCTTAATGGTTCACGAGCGATCTTAATTGATCTTATAATTTATTATTAGAATTTTTGTGAGCTTTTTAACAAATTTTCAATATATCAAATCGATTATTTGAATTGGATTGTTGATTGATAATATTATATGTGTGTGCATGTGCATGTGCATGCGAAAAGGAAGAACCAAAATATGTCAATCAAGGTTTTTCAGTATTATACAAAGAATTTAATAAACAATCATGCTTGTGGTTCAATAGTATACAATGAATTCCATAATCAATCATGGTAGAGAAGATGCAAGCAAGCTGTGTCTTGCGTCACTCAAATTCTTTACATATTTAATTCTACTCTTTGAATATATAGCTTTCACATCACTGTCCAAGTTAATACAAACTTAACCTAATATTGCCAACATGTCTATGTTATTTCTGTACATTGCCTATGTTGCTCCCTTTCAATATTCTACACATCTTCTAAACACATTAAAAACTTAAAATGGAAGAGCACATGCCCGTGTCCAAGATCACATTTGAATCCAGTAACATACATATTACGCATTCATTCCAGGAATTTCACTCATGCTTATCTTAAACACTGAAATTCTAGGTTAACAGGTTAATGGCTCTCTCTGCTGGCTACTTTAGCATAACAAGTTCCTGTGCTCTGTAAACTATAATAACCTGCCAACGAAACTCTGAATCGAATTATCGCTTACAAAACATGTCACTGATCATCACTTGAGTGACGTAGCTTCATTAGTTTGTCTCTTAACAATGCTGCAAGAAATTCATTTTATAGTGTGAAACTCTAAGATCTTCAATGTTAGATAACAAAGGAAAGAAATAGTATTGAGAGTGGTAATTCATTTCGTATATTCTGAAATCTTTATCTTAGTTACAAGATTATATTCTATGTTTATTACCTGCATCATTGTACCTTTCTTCTTCGACAGCTAAATCTATATTCCTCACCAGATTCAACTCCTCCGTTAGCAAATCCGGGCCACCTGCAGCACTGGACGTATACAACCCTGTGTAGAGTTAAAGGAAAACAACCAATTTTTGAGAAAACCCCAAAAGCAGGCATATACAACGTACCTGTCGAGCAATACATCGTAAGTAGACTTTCTATCACACACTCTGCCCATCCCATAGCCAATTCTAATAGCATCCTCCAAAAGAATCCGTTTACTTACATAGATAGGAGCCTGCATACAGAAGACCACCAATTAGAAGCTTTAGAGAAGCAATCGGTTGAAGTGAATACACACAACCTTGAAAATAGGAGCCATTTGACATTGAAATGAGAGAGAGATTGCAAAACTGGAAACATTAGACCAACCTACTCAAATCAAACCAGTTAGTCTCTATTGAAATTTGAAGTCGATATTTATACCGGTATATCTCAAACACAGCAAGAGAAAACAAGTCTGGGTAGTAGTAAGACTAGAAACTGAGCAATTCCCCAGGACATACCTTGCATCTATTAGCCACATTGATGGCATCTGAGGGTCGTGCATCCACACTTATCGCATCATTTTCCCCTGGCTGTAAGCAAAATAACCGACAATCGAGACAGGTGCCTTTATAATCCTAAGGAAATAAACGAACTAAAACGATCTTTCAAGTTTTAATTACCTTGGTAAAATATAACTTCGCAAAATAAGTATTGACAACTCTTTCTGTAATTCTCACCATCTTAACCTGGAACAAAAACATGTACAAATCAATGTAAAGAGATATTACACTGCATCATGCACAATTTTCCTAGGTTAAAGTTAGTGCAACCGAGAATATCAATCCAGATCACAGAAAGTAAACCAACTCCATACTTTATATTCAAGCCTCTCCACAACATGTTTAACAAGATTGAACTGATCTGGACAATCCTGCAAAAGATAGACCACAGTCATATGGATACAAAAGACATAAGTTCAACTTATAAATAAGATCAAATGTTTAAAACAACAACAGATTAACAAATACCCCATTTCATCTCCCAAAAAGGAAGCTATTAGTTTTCAACAGAGAATTCACCTACAAGAGCAGATTAATCACGAAGAAACAACAGATCCAACGAACGATAGCAATGTAATTACATGGTAGAATTGTTGATTTTCATCTTACCTACACTAATGGGTAGCAAGAAATCTCCATCACAAGAAATCTTAAGAAAAATAGTTGGACTGGGAAATCGACTAAGAAAGGATTGCCCAATTGAAGCATTTTAGGCCTGACATGGGATGCCGTCTCCTAGACGACTGCCATTTTATTTCTTCTTTAAATCCTTCCCTAACATCCGGTAGTGCGAAACAGTTTCTGTTCCATCACATAACTCCAAAATTAAACATATTCCCAAATTTTTCCACCCAATTCAAGGAAAAAAGTTTCTTTTTTAAGTCAGACCTGAAACGAGAATAGAAGCTTCAAGAAACTGATGATCTGGGTCGTCCTCGTTTCTAAATTGGGACCGAAGCTACCATGGATCGAGTGGCAAGAAATGAGGACCCGTTTCGGCAAAGGGCTGCGATTCGCCGTGAAATGTAAACGGATTGAAGAGGAGCGAAGCGGAGGAAAAGAGAAGGAGGGTGTTGGGTGATAAGCATTTTGTGAATCTGAGAAAACCCAGAAAGTGGAGAAAGTACGGGAGCAAACTGGGCACCGAGCATCGTCTCCGAGAGAGATGAAGGAGAACTGTTTGAGATGGGAGGTTTTATCTGGAAGAACAAGTAACCAATGACAGGGACAATAAAGTTAGTTGGAAATGACAAAGAAAAGGGTGAAACAGACTTTATTTGGAAATGGCAAAGAAAAGGGGTCGTTCTGAGGTGCGGCGCCTAAAAAACGGTTATATACGGCGTGACCGGTTAAACAAGTGACCGGTTAAAATTTAGACCGGTTATGTATATTATTTAACCGGAAATATTATAAAGTACAATAACATACTAGGTAGCGCTTATATAATGTAATAGGTAGCGCTTATATTTACCTATTTTATAAGTAAACCAGTATATTTATACCGATAGCATTGCAAATTTACCTATTACATTATATTATATTGAAAGTGTCCATACTTTTTATAAAAAGGATCGATACTTTAACAGTGTTTCATGTTTTCCACTACAATATTGATTTAATAATTTCATTTGCACAAAAAATTATTTGATTGTTTTGATATTTTATAAAATATTATTTAGAATTTTAAATTTAATAATAATATATACCGTAACGTAAAAAATAAATCATTAGACGCCTATAATTACTAAATTAATATCTTAAAACTCACTCAAAAGATAACCTTAAATTAATGTTTTCCACAGTGAAAAAAGTATGGACACTTTTATAAAAAGGATAGACACTTTACAATATAACCATTACCTATTACATTATATAAGGGCTACCTATTACATCATATGTTTACCTATATATTGAAAGTGTCCATACTTTTTATAAAAAGGATCGATACTTTTTTAAAGATATGTAATTTATGTTTCAATATTTTTTAAGTATGTTTCATGTTTTCCACCTACAATATTGATTTAATAATTTCATTTGCACAAAAAATTATTTGATTGTTTTTATATTTTATAAAATATATTTAGAATTTTAAATTTAATAATAATATACCGTAACGTAAAAATAAATCATTAGACGCCTATAATTACTAAATTAATATCTTAAAACTCACTCAAAAGATAACCTTAAATTAATGTTTTCCACAGTGAAAAAAGTATGGACACTTTATAAAAAGGATAGACACTTACAATATAACCATTACTATTACATTATATAAGGGCTACCTATTATCATATGTTTACCTATATATTGAAAGTGTCCATACTTTTTATAAAAGGATCGATACTTTTTTTAAAACTTATGTAATTTATGTTTCAATTTTTTTAACAGTGTACTGCGAATTTAAATGATAATATACTTGTAGTTATTGTACATACCTAAATATGTACTGCGAATTAATGTTGTACCCACCCTTTAACTACAGAAACATGTTCAAAATGAACCTTCGTTTACATATCCATCAACTCCTGGAGCACTGAACTTGCACAACAAAATTTTTGCCATGGATAATACTGATGTAGACAATGTTAAGCCAACCGAGGAATGCCATGAAGTACATAATGTTGATGAATCTGACAGATTGGTTGGTCAGCTCTTCTGTTCACGTGATCAAGCTTGGCACTTTTACAAGGGATTCGCACGGGAACATGGGTTAGTGCACGTAAGGGAACAACACGGCTTGACGTGGAAGGGAATGTGAAGACACAAGAATTTTGTTGTTCCAAAGAAGGGTTTCGAGTATCAAAAGTCAATACTGTTGATCGTCAACGTGCTCATACGCCAGTCACAAGAACAGGATGTAAGGCTAGAGTCGTAGTTACAGCAACAAATACAAACGATCAGTGGGTTATAAGTAAGTCTGATCAGAAACATAATCATGCATTGTGCACATCTGCTATGACCCATTATGTTCTAATCGAGCTGTAAGTAAGGCTGATATCGATGAGGCAACAACATTGAAAGAGGTCGGTGTTGGCACGTCACAAGTAATGAACTATTTAACGCAGCAGGCAGGGGGCTATCATAATGTTGGATTTACACATAAAGACCTCTACAATGCACTTCAAAGAGGTAAAGCAAAGGAAATCGTCGATGGGGATGTGAATGCGCTTATTGCCTACTTTGATTATAAGAAACATGATGATCCCGGGTTTTTATGACATACTCGGTAGACGAATCGGGGGCATTGTATAATCTTATTTGGTCGGATTCTACATCGAGATCGGATTACACATGCTTCGGTGATGTAATTGCGTTCGACACAACGTACAAAGATAATTTGTATGGTCGACCAATTATGCCTATGTTGGTGTCAATCATCACCATAACACAATTGTGTTTGCCACTGCCATAATCGCTGACGAAACGTCTCAATCTTTCGAGTGGGTGCTACAGAATTTTTTAGAAGCCATGATGAATAAATCACCTATTTCTGTTGTAACCGATGGGGATAGGGCAATGCAGAGGGCTATCAAATCTGTTATCCCTTATGCTAAGCACAGATTATGTTCTTGGCATCTTTCTCGCAATGCACAAGCTAACATTGGTGACCCAAAGTTTACAGCAGCATTCTCAAAATGCATGGCTTCCTGGTGGAACCAAGGAATTTGATATTCAATGGTTCGATTGTTTCAGAATTCAACGTCCAAAGCATCCATGGGTGATGAAGGGAAATACACGACACTTTGGGCACAAGCATATCTAACGGTCATTTCTTTGCCAATATTCGCTCAACACAAAGGTGCGAGTCTATGAATGCTTCACTAGCTATTGCACTGAAACACAAGAGACATATTTAGATGTTGTTCGTGCAATTGAAGATGGAATTAGTAGAATGCGTATGAACGAGTTGAAAGCGGATTACTTAAGTTCCCATACGAAGCCCTTCCAGATCACAAAACTGGTCGACCTTGAAAGCCATGCCGCTGCGATTTTTACCCGCGAATCTTTTCGGTGTTCCAAGATGAACTTACACGGGAGACATTGTACCGGATTGAGGCAGAGATTAAGTCCTTATCAGATGAATGTCAACATTATATTTTGTCAAAGTACGCAGAAAAAAATAGGAAATTTGAAATTAGTTTTGATTCTCGTACGAAAACTCTAATTTGCTCCTGCAAAAATTCGAGACCGTTGGACTTCCGTGTCGCCATCAACTTCACATTTTGAAGCAATTGGACTAACATATTTGCCCGGGACTTTGATTCAAAGTAGGTGGACTAATGATGCGAAGGCTTCTGCACCCAGCTATGTTGATTTGAATGTGTCTCCAGAAGTGATGCAAATGGCAAGGTTCGCTGCTCTCGTTCAACGTCAAGCAGGTTATGCTACATTGCATCAAAGACAGACGAGTCTTTTCAAAACCGCAGAGATGAGATGAAAAAACTAATAGAAGAATTAGAAAACTCGTTTGGTTTGAATCATTCAGTCAACCAGAGCATTGTAGTAAACAATGTTCGTGACCTCAACGAAAACAAACGCAAGCGAAAAGAAGTGCCGAAGAACAAGGTCGAGAAGCAAATTAGGCGATGTGGGTACTGCAACGGGGGCATAACAAAAAAATGTCCTCAAGTCAAGCTTAGTTTGAGTACAAGCACACAGCCATCAACTGATTTTTTCGAAGACGGAATGGAATGACAACGATCTCCATATAATATATCGTAAGTATCATCACTCCTATTGTATGTACATATAATATTTGAATGAAGGAAGAAAAACCGCGTTACTTCAAATTACCGACACTTTTTTAAATGGTATGGACATAAAGTACCGACACAATATTATAAAGTGTCGATATAGGTTGTAGACCTATTCGCTCATAAAACCGGTATATTTATACCGGTTATATTACAAATTATCTATTACATTATAATTATGGGTTCCGATGTGTAAAATGTCGACACTTTTTTAAATCGTATCGACACATTTTTCTTCCAATATGGACATAAAGTACCGACACAATATTAAAAAGTGTCGATATAGGTTGTAGACCTATTCGCGCATAAACCGGTATATTTATACCGGTTTATTACAAAATTATCTACATTATAATTATGGGTTCCGATGTGTAAAATGTCGACACTTTTTTAAATCGTATCGACACATTTTTCTTCCAATATGGATATAAAGTACCGACACAATATTAAAAAGTGTCGATATAGGTTGTAGACCTATTCGCGCATAAAACCGGTATATTTATACCGGTTATATTACAAAATTATCTATTACATTATAATTATGGGTTCCGATGTGTAAAATGTCGACACTTTTTTAAATCGTATCGACACATTTTTCTTCCAATATGGATATAAAGTACCGACACAATATTAAAAAGTGTCGATATAGGTTGTAGACCTATTCGC